GTGTGTGTGTGTGTGTGTGTGTGTGTGTGTGTGTGTGTGTGTGTGTGTGTGTGTGTGTGTGTGTGTGTGTGTGTGTGTAAGCACACATGCACACTTCTGTTTTTATCTGTAGCCAATGTCATATCAAACTTGGCTCCAGGACCATGTGCCTCTTGAGTTCAACTTACAAGCCCTCAAGATAGGGCTTGTATTATACAAAAATATAAGGACTGAAGTTCCCATATCTATAAATCCATAGTACATCCACATCTTGAATACTGCGTGCAGTTCTGGTCGTCCCATCTCAAAAAAGATATACTAGAATTGGAAAAGGTACAGAGAAGGGCAACAAAAATGTTTAAGGGTATGGAACAGCTTCCATCTGAGAAGAGGTTAAAAAGACTGGGACTGTTCAGCTTGGAAAAGAAACAGCTGAGGGGGGATATGATAGAGGACCTATAAAATCATGAATGGTGTGAAACAAAGTGAATATGGAAGTGTTATTTACCCCTTTACCCAACATAAAAACTAGGGGTCACCTAATGAAATTAATAGGCAGCAGGTTTAAAACAAATAAAATGAAGTATTTATTCACACAACGCACAGTCAACCTGTGGAACTCATTGCCAGGGAATGTTGTGAAGGCCAAAAGTTTATCTGGGTTAAAAAAAGAATTAGATATGTTCATGGAGGATAGGTCCATCCATGGCTATTAGTCAAGATGGTTAGGGATGCAACCCTATGCTCCAGGTGTCTCTAAACCTTCAATCCCCAAAGTAGGTGGTAGGACATATTACTGGAGGTTTTGTCACATGACATAATCTTTAATTAAAGATTTCAGAGTAGCAGCTGTGTTAGTCTGTATCCGCAAAAAGAACAGGAGTACTTGTGCACCTTAGAGACTAACAAATTTATTAATTAAAGATTTATCTTTAATTCTTTGAGACTCCAGGACAATCCTGGAGGATTGGCAACCCTATGAAGGCAGGACTGGATGGCAGGGGGACTCAATACATTACTCTGTTCTGTTCATTCCCTCTGAAGCACCTGGCATTGGCCATCGTCAGACAACAGGTTAATGGGCTAGTTGGACCATTGGACTGACCCAGTATGTATTGTGAGGCCCTTTGTGAGGCGTAAATGAGGCCCAGGCCTTGAGGATTTCACCACAGAATGGGCACGGAAATCAGTCCATAGTGGAAGCACTGTACTCTCCCATTTGAATGCCTCGTGGGAGGAACACCTCATCCAGAGGCTCAGATGCTGGATGGGCATGGTTTTAAAAGCTAGACAGACAGATAAGCATGGCTGAAGCAGAACTTAAGTGGTGCATAGGACTCCTGCCAGTTCTCTTCATGGAGACGGTAGAGGCTGCTTTTACCCTTAGGGCCTTATTCTGCTCCCACTCACACAACAGCAGTTTCCATAGTGCAGGAAAGTCAAGATAAGAAGACACCTTCACCTCTGCGAAGTAAAATAATCCTGGGAACAAGATGTGAAATAACAATAATGGGGAACTAGATCTCCAAGTCCTACTTACCAAGCCAGTTCCTCTTTAAATAGAAGGCAACACAAATTGGAGGGATGGTGAAGAAGTCCACGATGGAGTTGAGCTCGAGCCAGAATCTCAGCTTGTTGTTTGCTGCCATGAACTACAGAAAACAGGCAAAGTCAAAGAGCATGAGGACGGTATGAGACTGAAGCACATCAGAGCAGAAATTAGGCTTCTTTTGCAGAATGCAGCTAGCTCCGCTCTCTCTCTCTCCACCCTGTGGGCACCCAATGAACGTTTCCCAGTGTTTTAAGGTTGGGCAGCTGGCAGCAACTTAATCCCTAGTATAGCTGAACTGCACTGACTTCAGTGGAGAATGGAATTTAAACAGGAGGTTTTGGTCCATCATCTCACAGTCATAGTGATGAACTCCCTATCTCCACTGACATCTAGTTACCCATCTTTTTTTTTCTCATGGAATCTAAGTGCCGATGACATTGAACTAGAAAATCCAATGTTTGGCAAAACCCACAGCCGTCACTACCCAAATCTGTCATAAGGAAAATCGTATTTTCTAAAAACTTTGCCAGAGTTCGAATGCCAAAAACTAAGGGCATTTCACATCAGTGCAACCAATGGTATTTTAACAAATGCAGACTATGATCCACTCCTTGCAAGGGAGAATGGAGGTGAAATCTAGCTAATTGACTAGATGGTTTGAGGATTAGGGGCGAGGCACACATTGTTCACAGTGGGAGCTGCAGAAGGGTTTAAGAATTTATCAGGTTGAGGGAAAAAACAGATTAAAAAACAGAAAGACAGAAAATTCTTATGAGCCTTGGTAACATTTGTACCCAGGGCCGGCTTTAGCAAGTGCGGGGCCCGACTCGTGGGGCTTGTACTCACCGGGCGGCGCTCCGAGTCTTCGGCGGCACTTCGGATTGCGGCACTCCGGCCAGGGTATAGGGGCCGCGGGGCTTGCCGCGCTCTGGCCGGGGGAGCGGGGCCGCCGGGATTGACGCACTCCAGCCGGGGTAAGAGGGGCTGCGGGACTTGCCGGGCTCCAGCTGCGGGAGCGGGGCTGTGGGACTTGCCGCGCTCTGGCTGGGCGCGGAGCCCTCTTAGGCGCGGGGCCCGATTCGGGGATTTGTACCTTGGCTACAAAAGCTAAGCTAAGCTAAGGCAATCAGATCTCATGCTTCAGAGCACAGACATTGCTGTCAGGACAGGAAGGAAGTTTCTTTAATGAACAGTCAGTCTGCCGCATTAAGAAATGATTCACTTTTTTCTGAAACATCGGGTTTTCCTCACTGCCACCAATGGTTGGAACCAGTATGGCAAATCCTATGTTCCTAATTAGCAGCAACATGATTCACAAAGGGGATACATCTATCTCAGTACTGATATGGCCCCGCCCCATCACATGGAACCTGAGCCTCACAAACTCTAACGACACTTAGTTTGCAACACCCGTGGAGGTAGGGAAGTATTTTTATCCTCATCTTACAGAGCAGTGAAATGTCTTGCCTAAGCTCACTGCGGGAGTCTGCGGCAAAGTTAGGAATTGAACCCAGATCCTGATACCCAGTACAGTAACATAACAATCAGACCATCATCCCACCGTAGTTAACAACGCTGGGGAGAGATTCTGATAACCTTGTTCATGGCAAATAATGACTTACTTCACTATTTTGGTTAGTATGGAGTAATGTCACATACTATGTCATACTATGTGATGAAGGATATCAAAACCTAGCCCTTTGTAATGATGCCCCTGGACTGGTATTAGGACATATTCCCTCTTGCTATCAGAAATGTCCAGTCTCGCTTACATATTGGAATTTGAGACATGATTCTGATCTCATGCCAGTTCCATACTGGTGTAATCCCATTGATTTCAGTTGAGTTAATTCCTGCTTCATATTGTGGTGAGAGGAGAAATAGTCCCTTCATGTTCCTTCATGCTGTTAAATTATTTCCAAGTACTTATTATTTTAACTCAGCTTGATTGTAAAGTGCCCTTACCCGTAATCCGAAATAGAAGAGGAAGAATGCATTGAAGCTCATATCTATAGAAAGCGTGTGGTCTGTGAAGTAGTGCTCTACTGGGCTAAGGGAGGAAAAGTCATCATCATTTGCATTGACATTGCTCTTTTCACGCAAGAATCTCCAAATGCTTGACTAACTAATTTATTAAACTCTTGCAAGATGCCTGTGAATTAGGGATTATTCCTCCATATTTTTGATGATTCACAGCCTGATCCAACGCATATTAAAGTCAATAAATCTTTCCATTCAACTCAGTGGGCTTTGGATCAGAACCAAAATGAGACACGGGGATTAAGTGATTTGCCCAAATTCACACATGAAATCAGGGGCAGAGCTGGGAATGGGACCCAAAATTTGAGTCCCCTAATCTAATCCATACTCATCTGTAGTGCCACCATGTAAGAGAGGCACTGGCAGAGTCTAACACAAACAAAGTTGAAATGCGTGTGTACCTGCATGATGTCATTGTCCCATTTACACATTTAGGTCCTGATCCAACATCCATTATAGACAATACAGAAACCTGCAATGGCCATTGATCTGGCTTTCATTTTGGTTGTGGAATTTTCCCAAACCATAGGTTAAGAACACACCAAGCAATTTAAATCTCTGCTTTCTCAGTGAGTTGGGATGTATAAAATATCAGGTTTGCATTAACATTAGTGAGTTAGATTAAATTGTTTTTTTGAATCAGGCAAATTTATTGGACATCTTCATTTTCATAGCATTTTATAAGACACTTATTTGCAGGGTATGTCTACACTGCAAGCAAAGGTGTGATTGTGTCATGGGTAGGCATACCTGTGCTAGCTTTAATCTAGCTAGTGCAGATAACAGGAGTTGTGAAGACATGGAAGCACAGGCTTCAGCGTGGGCTAGCAAACCAAGTACATACCCTGGCTCCTTGGCAGACTTGAATTTAGGCAGCTAGCCTGGGCTGAAGCCTGAACTGCCAGTTGTTACCCACTCTAACTAGCTTAAAGCTAGCCAGGGGTATGCCTATGCATGATGCAATCACACCTTCACCTGCACTATAGACATGCCCCAAGCGTGAAATCATAGCCCCACTGAAGTCAATGGGAAAGCTGCCATTGACTTCAGTGGGGCCAGGATTTCACCCTGAGAGAGCACTAGATTCTCACACCTGCTATCTCTGGCATGCCGCCTATGCCAGAGTTGGCTGTGAGGGCTGCCTTAGGAGCTGGCTGTGCGCCAGCTGAAGACTCTTCCATGTTGGGGGCATTCTTAGCTAGAGAGATCTGGCCAGCTAACCTGGCCTTATAGGTCAACCAGTTAAAAACTTAGTATACTTACTCTTATTTATATCCTATTATCTCCATGAGAAAGTACTTGTTTGTTTCTTGAAAAGAAACTCTTTTCCCTCTGTAGCTACTCCTAACTGTTTGGCAGGTTTCTGATGTCTTGGGATTAAACACAATATTGGATTGCACTTGATGTATAATTCTGCTTCTGAGGTTTACCCTTGCTGTTTGAACTCACTTCAGTTTGTTCCAAAGCTTTTATATTTTATTTATTTTGTTTTAACATTCCATTTTATTTTCCCAGTGTTGTGCAGCCGTCTAAATAAAGTGTTGAGAAAAGAAACACTGCTGTGGCATATTAAATTGATCACGAGGCTTTACATACTAATATATTTTTTACCCCTGAGCACTTCCTGTAAGATATATGTATTTGGGTGAAGATTGCTGAGGCCACAGTAGGATTCCTACTCAGTCTAGTTATTTTATTTCTGTCAAATTGTTTACAAAGGTCAGATTTTCAAAAAGACCTCAACTCCCATTTGGGCACCAAAATAAGAGGCCAGATTTTCAAAAGAGTTCAACACATTGGGTCCTGAGCTCCTTTGAAAATCTGGCCTCAATTGTGGGTGTTGAGCACATGGAGATCTGGCCCTAAGATTGTTTGGAAAAAAATTAGGTCCATGAGGGGAAAAGAAAAAAGAATTCAGTTTAAGGAAATTTGAGCAGAAGAATGTTCATGGGATGTTTTCCTTTTCTGGTTACATTATATAATTCGGTGAGTATATTTATACTGCAATTACAGTGTAATTACATTTTAGTTATGCTTTCTTGCACCTCTAATTATTACTAAATTTGCAAAACTGGAAGTTTAACTGTATGACTAAGTGGGTGATTATAGTGTAAATACAATATAATGAATGTTCCTGAAAGCTAAAAATCCACATATTAAGTATGAAATCAAAGAGATGATAAAATGTAATTCTGTAATGTAGTTAACTTCTGGTGACATGAATAAGTGGTAATTAGTTATTGTAACTACAGTGTAACTACAATATAATTACAAACATTTAATTTTAAAGTATAGCCCATTTTCTTTCCCTTTTGCCCAGGAACACCAAGAGCTCTGTTGTGTGAGTCTTCTTTAGAACAATAACCTTCTCATTGGTGAGTTTCAATGGGATAACTCAAAGAGGATATTATCACTACCTGACTTTTTAGACCAGAGCATGTCACAAAGAATACAATTACATTTCTACACTGTCTTGTCCTGAGAACAGCAACTGCATGTAAACATAGTCCCTTCTTTCTCAACATCAGATCTGTTGATTTTTATGGACACAAATGGGATTCACTCTTATTAGCAATTCCAATCAAATGCAGCTGTGCAGAAACTAGATGGATTCTATTCTGCCCGATGCATCATCAGTAGAATAATAAGCTATCTTCTTTATTGCTGTGGATGATGTGAGAAGCAGCTGGATTTTGTCAGCTTGATATTATTTGACTTTGCTGCACCAGCAGTTGGAAAAAAAAGATCATTTAACTCTTAATTGGAGCCAACTTGATTTGGAGTTTGCTATAAGAGACTCTATTATCTATCTAGTTATTTATATGCCCTCTCCTCACCTTAGCATCTGAGCAGTTCACAGCTGTTAATACATGTATTCTTACAACAACCCTGTGAGGCAGGGAAATATCACTATCCCTGTTTTTCAGCAAGGGAACTAAGGCAGAGAGAGTTTCAGGGTCAGAGGTAAAAAATGCTCCATCCCCAGATACGAGGTCAGATGATCAGAAGTGATTTCCAGAAGCCCAGGTGGGAGCTCCAGGATGCTGAGCACTGTACTTTGGAGAATCTGGCCACTTTACTTAGGTGTAGGGTGACCAGACAGCAAGTGTAAAAAATCAGGACAGGGGATGGGGGATGGGGGGTGGTAATAGGTGCCTATATAGGGGGAAAAAAATTGGGACTGTCCCTATAAAATCGGGACATCTGGTCACCCTACTTAGGTGGGAACTGATTTGAAAATCTGGCCCTAAGTGACTCAGCAAAGGCCACAAAGGGAGTCTTTGGCAGACTTGCCAATTGAACCCAGGACTCCTGGGTCCCATTTTTGGATTTTAACTATAAGGCCACTTCCTCCCTAAAATAAGGCTATCATCTCCAAATAAGCCTAAGGGAGTTAGGCATCCAACTCCCATTGAAATTCAGCAGGAGCTGGGTATGCAACTCTATTAGGCTCCTTTTGCCTGTGTTTGTAGACACAAGACCACCCTTTAAGAACATATATCATTTTGGGCTTTTACAGATTGTTCCCATGTATAAGGAAGCAATAAACATTGTGGATAAATGCCTAGATTCTACTTACAAGGCACAGTTGATAAAGTAAATGATGAGGGATCCAATACTCAGTAGGAACACCAGTATCACCTAAAAACATAGGCATCAAGCAGGAGATGTCATGTTACTTGCTTGTCTGAAACTGACATAGATTCCAAAAACACGTCTAAAGCATCCCCTGTGGAATTTATCTGTGACTTTGTGGAGAAAGTCAGGAAACAAATAATCAGTTACCTGAGCTCTGTGACAAAGGTGGGAAATGGGTTTTAATTTAGATCAGTTACAACAGATTCTCAGATGTTGTTAATCGACATAGCTGCAGTAAAGTCTAATGTATTATGCCAGTTTATCCAATACACAGAGTAAGGTCAGATAAGTAAGGCAATAAGTTCTGATGACAAGTGGCAGTAATTTGACCCAGAATTTGGGGAAATGAAGGGTGACTGTTGATGGATCTTCTTCCCAGTACTATATGGTCCAGGTTTTTGCCTGATTTTGTCTAGTTCATAATGTTTATTTGACTTAGATTGTAAGCATCCTGGGAGGGAGATGTGTTTTCTTTTATGATTATGTAAAGCAGTATGCACATCTACACAGCACTCTGCAATAAAGTCCCAGGTACATCTAAGGATCTGTGTATATTAAAAAATTGGGTAGATGCAAGTTTCTCTGTGTATTAATTCGGAATAACTTTTAGACCACTTCATTTACAGGCATTTCTTCTGCAGTCATCATCATCTGCATTAGTGAACAGAGATCATTACCCTTTGGAAGGTCTTTGATGGAAGGAAAAGGTACTTTCAGTCTAGTGGAGTGACATTAAATAAAAAAATAAATTGCTGTCATAGTTGACCCGTTGGGTGCTTGCCCCCTTAACTGAGACTGCCAGTACAGGGGCCATGAGGTCTGAGTCCCTTTGATTATCCACAGGATAGAGTGACTATGCAACCTGACCCAGCAATCTGCCTCCATCCTGACCTGGAGTAACCCCAGGGTTGTGAATATCTACCATTTCATTTTGCGTTCCTTCTGCTTAGGGAGACTTTTCAGATTCCGCGCCCAGCCCAATCATGTCTGGTTAGAGGAAAAGGGTGAATTGTTGTGTGTGGTTCGCTGGAGCACCACCAATGGACTTTCACTTTGTTACAAAAGTCTCAGAAAACTTGTTCAACTGACCTTATCATCCCTAGCAGGGGATGAAACCCTGCCAACCAATCCACTTACCAGCACACGCCCCACACATGTTTGAGCTGACAGCATCATCTCCACTGACTCCAGGAAGGCTCCTTTCCAGCGAATTGAAATTTGCCTTGTTTTGGGCAGCCACTGAGCACGTTGTTTGTGCTCCCCCTAAGAGTGACACAAATAGTTTGGGACCCTAGGAAGTACCAGAGTTTACATGGCTTGCTAGGATCATGAAAGCCACTGAATGGGATCCTGCAACATACATCCAGTACAATACGCAGACTAGAAAGAAAACCTAGATGGTGCCTAGTCTGCAGCTCTCCCAGGTTAGCTAATGGGAAGAATTCCCTTGGATGAGGTGGCCGGAGCTGTCCTGAGCTTCGCTTTGCTAGAAGTCATGCTGGTCAGATGTGACAGAATCCTATTGTCACATCACAACAGCATATAGGTTAGTTTCTCCTCTGCCACATGGTAGTCACATGACCGCATAGTCAATTAATAACTGTTTGGAGTCTAATGAAAACAAATTGTCAGAAGAAAATCAAACCCCCACAAACCACACCCACAACACACAAACCCAAACCCACAAATATTCACCTGAGCGCAAACACACAGAACACATACACACAAATACTCATATGCACACACACTATTCTGAAAAGAAAGCAGTGAAAGTATTCTTCCTGCAAACAGCCACGTAGGTTTATCACCGTCAATAAGCCGTATAACTGCACAACTTAAATGTGAGTAAACAGTATTCCAGAGTAATCAAACTTCATGATTCAAGATATCAGTTGACTGCCTGCAGGGAATGGAAAAGACATTTTACCCCCATGCATAGCACTGTGAATTTGACCAGATCCATTATGCTAGGTTTGCTAGCCTTTCTGTTTGGGTCACTGTTTGGGATAGGATACAGGACTGCCTGGACCAGTGGCCTGTCTGATGAGGGAGTATTTTATGCTCTCATGGATGACATATGTCAACAACACTTATGTTATGGCCCTTTGTAACCTTGGACTGGAGGAAACTGGGTCAAATTCACCCAAGAGTAAGCCAGCATATCTTCTATGGGGTTTGTGAGATGTCGCTCCTGCTTGCGCCAGGAATGAATTCAACCTATGAACTCTGGATCATTTAAACATTGCTCTCACGTATGCCTTGGAATATCCCAGCTCTGGGTTGTTGCTTTAATTTGACCTGCAGGATTCACCCCTTTGCTTTTCCCTTCTGTGTGACCTAGGG